CTATATAATATTTTTAAAAAATAATTTTCCTTATTATAGTGTATTGATGATGTTTTATTTTCTTTGGAATCTTGCAAAAATGAAGGGAACTACAATCAAACCTACATGTTACTCCTTGGTGACCCATCGTAGTTCACTCTTGGCGTTTTGTATCTCTGAAAGGTTAACAGCAGGCCCAGGTAGCTTCACTGCTCCTGGCAATTTCTTCTCCTCTGGTGACTGGGCTGCAGCGCTTGGAGGTGAAGGATCCTGATTTAAAAAATAAATTGTGTGTGAGGTGATGGCAGCATTGCTTTTACCTAAATTTAAAGAGAAACTTCATCATCTTATAAAGGGACAGAATGCAAATGAAGCTGCTGCTTAAGCTGCCTATTCATAACAATGTGAGCTTTTAGGAAAAGGCCTTAAAGAGACAGCAGCAAAAACTACCTGTGTCGAAAGAGTATAAACTGAAGAGCCTCATAGAAGGCCAATATAAGATAAGTAAGGGTAAAATAAGAATAAAAATATGTAGCTAGAAAGTAGCTTTCTAGTTCCTTTTTAATGTCAATTAAATGCAGTTCTCAGGAAATTAATTTTGTAGTTTTTTATTATATCTTATATTATACTATATTGTGTTATAAAGTGATCACAAAATAAAATCTGCTTAGAATAAGTAAACAAAGTTAAGGAAATGTTTCTTTTATTACCATGCCACACACTACAGCATTTACAGCCCAAATTAATTTGCAAAGCCCTTCCCTAGATTGGCCTTTTAAATATGTAAAACTCAGCAACACTTACACAGTATGTCTGTGAAGGTTCCAAGTCATCCAGGTCATCGTAGTCAAAGGAGCTTGCTTTCTTTGCTTTCTTTGCTTTCTTTGCAAGCTCCTTTGACCACTTACACAGTAGTTAGTCAGAAACGTTAATTGTGCAATAAAAGCACATTAGAAGCACAAAAGTGGAATAGAGCCAAACTAGGAAATGTCTGAGTTTATTTTTTAGTTTTCAAGACGATATTAACATACATTTGTATCCATATTCAGCTCATTTGGGTCAGGAAAATTCCAGTTGTAAATATATGCAGATCCATGAGGTGGTCATGCGTATGTTGAATTTACAATTTAAATGTGACCACATTGTGAAAAAAAAAGCATCAGCTCCACAAGTTGGCAGAAGCTGTCTGTCTTGCCCATTGGTATTAAGGTGTGGGTAGAGTGGGGATGAGGAAAATGCAGACCAGTGGACTGGGTGTGAAATGTGTTATCTCACCTCTTCTGTTTCTACTGTGTCCTCTCTCCTCTTGACAGGATGTCCCGCCCCTGGACGCAGAGCTCCCATCGGGATGTTCAAATTAGCCTGAATGACAGCGAAAACAGCCAATGAGACCCTTTCAACACTTGATACTCAACTGTCTGCGGTGTGTGTGTGTGTGTGTGTGTGTGTGTGTGTGTGTGCGTGCAGGCTCCTGCTGTTTCCTCAAAACCCAATGTTTTGATTATGGCCACTGCTTCCTCGTTATCATCATGTCCCTAAAAAGAGACTTGTGTTTTTATGAAAATTGGGAGACACATGCTTAAACACAGACAGACAGGCAGACACACACACACAAACATACACACACACAGATAAGAACGATCTACCTGCTAACTCGATGTTCTACTGCTGCCTGCCCCAACGTCCAACCACCTGGATTTGATGTGTTTTGTATTTGTACTGTAATGTATTGTATATAAGCTCACATTGTACAGCTGTACAGAGTGGGAGTGTGATGTGTGTTAACGATGTCTGTGGATGTTGTTCTATGAAAGAGTTATATATTTTACAGACGTTAAAGTTTTGAGATTGGTGAGGGAAGGTAAATCGCCTCATTCGCAGCATGTTTGCTGAAGTTTGTATCACTGTAACGTTGCTTTGGCTGGAATCGTTTGTTGTCTTTATGCTTGGCGTGCCGTCAGCATTCATGTCCTTGCACACCACTGGCACAACCCAAAGATTAAAGGAATATTTCACCCCAGAATGTTTTCTTGAAAATCCATTTTCAAGAAAACAAGACCACATGCTGTAATTCAATCTGAGCCTCCCATGCATAGGAAAAAAATGTTTATTGCAGCTCAGGCTTTTATTTTTCCACCAGCCATTAAAAGATCATAAACTTTTAGAGCAAACCAGTAGATTTACCTGATTTATTTGGATACGAAAATGCCCAGTTGATCCCCATAAACCATCTCAGTTTCTGTTTATCTTTGTAGTTATGTAGTTTTGTTTATGTATTTGACAATAATAATTTTAAATGCTCGCTAGTATCAGCTTTTCCCCCCTGATTTCCTGTGACAGTAAACTTAAGAGCTTTAGACATTTGGGCAAAGCAGACCAAGCATATATATCTCAGTAACCTGATTTTCTCTCACATTTTTTAAGAAAAATAACAAAACTATTAAAACTATTAATGATTCAAGTAAGTTACTCCCAGTAATTTGATGAAAGAAAGTAATACAACATGAAGTGACATAAAGTCGGCCAACTAGACTGAGCTCCTACATAACATGGGGACTGAAATTTTAAGGCATTTACCACATTTGGCCAGCTGGAAAATCATTATAGAAACTCATGTTTAACTTTTCCGATTAATGTATTGAGGTTTAGATAAACATGAATTAAATATTTATCTGATTGCAAAGTTAAGTATACAGAGTTCTAAAAATCTGGTTCAAGCTGTGATAAACTGTAGATTACCTAAAGTTTAGAAAACGTGATTTGGCATGTTCTCTTTTGTTCAATACCTCTTCAGTACAGCACAGAAACACATACAAGATATAATATAACACTTAAACAGCTGATTAAGAGGTTAAGTCTGTGTTTTAACCTCATATGTGTTGCATGTACAAGTCTTTCATTCATTCCTTTTTTAGATCCAAGATATTTTCTACTCATCATTTTAATAATAGCAATAACCAGGCAAGAAAACACTGGTAAATTCCACATATTGTAGGGGCACAGCTGTTGCATAAAGTAGAGTGTGAACTTTCTCCAAACAGCTTATGCAACACACTTCAGACTGTTTTTTTTTATCTAAACAACAGCACCAAAGCTCCAAACCTCTACGTATTTATCATCATTAACCTTGTTGCTAACCACATCCACATATACAGTATGTGAAGTAGAAGTGTGAGAGAAGCTGTCTGAGACGATACCCTATAAAGTCAACACTAGCTGTGAGTCTGGGAAGAGGCTGAGACTGAACTACAGTATACCTCCGCATTTTGATTGATTCTGTTAATGTTTTTTGAAGGTGAACTAATCCTTTAAGCTCGCCTGCTGACAAGCCGTTGTTATAACTTTATGTGAACATGAAAGGAAAGCCTAGATAAGAAGAAAGACCTCAGTATCTGACAGGTAAATGGAAGAAAAACAGACTCACAGACTAATCCTGTTGAGGAAAACAAACAAACATACAAATAAGCTCAATAGCCAGACTTCTTGTTACTTCCACATTCTAGTACCATTATGTCTGTATTATATAGGAATATGTTAAACTGAATTACCAAGCCGATGTTTATGAAAGTTTAAGACTTGAACTACAGATTTGACTTAATTTACTTGACTGTCAACTGTTTTCAAAAGCATAACAACTGAATTCCCTCAGACAGCCTCTGGTTTCCATTTCTTGCGTACGTGTTTTTAAAGTTGCTTTCTTAGTCAAACTGTTGCTGCTCTCTGAAGCAGCTGTAAACAGAGCCTGTTGTGAAAACCTGCTTTTACTGATGCTCAGCTGACTTAGTACTTTACCCCTATAATATTCTCGCATTTACGCTGGCCTTTCTGATTCCACATCATCTTCTTCCTTTTACATGGTTGCTAATGCTCCTGAATCTCTGGCAACCCGTGAGGTTGAAATATTAGGGCAACATGGAAAATGAAGGTGCCAAAGCCACTTGAAGGTGGCTTCAAAGGTGATTCAGTCCCTCGTAGAGTTACATGTTTAACATGGTCAACTTTAGAGCACTAATAAACATTTGCACCCTGGTATAGAAAACCCGTGTGGTGTTTTGGGTCTTTCGAGCTAATTCATCCATTCATAAGAGCAGTGCAGGGTTTTTTTGTTTGTTTGTTTGTTTGTTTTTTCAAGTAATTCTAATATTACAGGTATAGGTAGCATGCCAGTCATAGATAGGCAGCCAGATGCTTTCTGCAAGGCTTCACCTGATCTCCATTAATTTAAGTCATGACATAGACCTGTCCACTTTATTAGTGTTGTCGGTGCCTTCAAAGCATTTTAATTTAATAATGTGGTCCACTGTGTGCGGTACAACAAATCTGTTTGGTGAGTGAAATCTTATTACTTATTAGTGTTTTATTTAACAATAATTAGCAGGTAAGTATGTCTGTGTACAGCTTATGAGGGAAGTTTGCTTTTGAGGCATTTTGTAATATAGATATCTAACAAATATTATGGTTTGCTATGTGGTTTATCTATTAATGGCCCATTACAAAAATGTCTTTGTCCCACTTTTTTGTTAAGTTAAATTCTAGTGCTATATTTGTATTTTACTTGTATGCACCAGTACAGCCTATGGTTGCAGCTTGAAGGGTGCAAATGTTTCCCTGTAACTATGTCTACCAAGGCATTTGTCATTATCACGCTTCTTCTGTAACAATGCAAAATTTCCTAATGGGTTCATTTTAAATGTCTTTATTCAAAAAACCCCAGAATATGTTTAATTTACAACCTTTTATCCTTATTTGCAAACTGATTTTGACTACATTGACTTTGTATAATCACCATCTTTACATGACTATTGTCCATGCATGTGCTGGCTCTTCCCAAGATCTTTGCTCCTTGACATTGAATTGGCAACAGGTTGCAAATAGACATCCTGAAAGTTCTAGACTTGTCTTACACACTAAGAGGAGGCTAAGGAGAAAAGTTTAATTTAAAAAAACAACAACCCTAAATGCAGAAAATCATCATCTGATGGAATATTAAAGGGTATTTAGGCAATAATTAATAAATGGAAAACAATAGCTGTCTGGAAAACCTCTAATAATGCAACCACCTTTTGAAAATGTTTGACGCTAAAGCAATTAAAAGATTTGTTATTGATGAGCTAAAATGTGCAAAGCTGCTGACACTGAAGTATAAAGAGGTTTTTATCATCCAAATATTTATAATGTGAAGTCGCACTGCTTTTTTTCTTTGTGATAAAGTGATGATGGACTCTTTGGTGGGAACTGAACTGTGAACCTCATGGTTGTACTGTTAATAAAAAAGAAACTCTGTCCCATGGTTAGACGTGAAAATGAGCACAATGAGAAGTGAGCTGATGGAGGAAACACACAGAAAGCCACCAACACAAAGAAACTGCTCTGCATATGTTCGCCTTGCTAAAACCCTGCACTAACAACGCCTTGATAATGTATATGCACAGTTTAAACTCAGCATTTGCCTTCATGAATAAAGACTTTAATGTGGAAACTTGAATTTGTCTTTATTGAGGAGCAGGAAGAGTTACTGTGCATTTCAGTTGTCTTCTATTCTGCCTTTACTTTTGTAAAGTTAATATCATGCAGGAGGTAACACACAACCTTCTGAAGACACATCCACCTTACTGTGCATACAGATGGAAAAAAAAAAAACTTTTACCTGAAGGGCCTTAACGTTGGTCGAAGGTTTGGACATAATCCCCCTGGTGAGTCCGCTGACCTGCAGGAAGCATAGATCACAGACATTCAGGTGTGTTGGATCTTTGTTCTGTGTACTTGTGAGCGTGTGTATGCATGTTGGGGGCACTGGTACTCAGTTCCTGTGGTTTTCACGGCCTGGGATACCATTTCAGTTGCTTAGCGACTCTTGGGGAGTTAAGCAGGCAGAGGAACTGTTCTCTGAATCATTCATGAGAGGGAGACAGAGTGACTGCCAGTATAAAAGTACCTCAATTTCACCTTTGGGACGGCTTTTGGATTGATGTAAAGGTAAAATAGAAAAAATTCTACTGCTGCTACTGTCAAATTTCTTCTTGGAGATTCTGTAGTTTGGTAATGTAACATGGTACACAGCAGTGTGAATGATAAATGTCACTTTTGTACAGTTTTTATTGCTATAAAGTTGTAGCTGAAGAGGGTAACTCTTCAAAATTCCAGCGTGCTGCTTCACCACCTTTACTGCTATGAACTTTTTTCAGCCAAATGTATTCATATCACAACACGAGCAGAACCTACGACAGAAACAGCTGTTTTTACTGGGGCGAGCAAGGCACGTATTGGTTATTTAGTGCAATCTAAAAATAGACATCAATTAAAGTGTAGGAAATCGAAAGCAATCTTGCTCCTTTGATCTCAAACAGTGTTGTGTGTCATAAGCTTATCTTATTGTGTGTTTCAATTACTGCCATGTGTGGCCATAGCTGTCACTGCGTCTGTAGTGGCTAGATTAACTCTAACTCATTCTTACAGTCAGGAAAGCTGCACCCCACTTAAAAACCAAAAATTCCCATTGGTGCCACCAAATTGTTTGCGAAGTGGTAAAGCCAATGTGTGACCCACTTGACACTGCGACACAGATTGCAATATAGAGTGGTAAGTTTAGGTAAGAGTAGTGAGTAATGTAAAAAACTAACCAGCACCTACCAGTTTTAATATAAAATTCTTTATTTGTATAAAAATTGAAATAAAAATCACTTTTATATAAATGAATAAAAATATGGAAATATGAAATTGTACACATGGAGTAATTTCAAATTGAATCTTTATTATTGCAACCCATCTACAGTACCTTCTTGGCCCATTAGGGGCTGACATTTTTGGAATCTCTGCTCTAGGACATGGACATCTTCATGGACATGTCCATGTCCTGTTAACAAGGATTAACTTAAAAAAATGCTAAAAACAATGTATGTCTATATCCTAATCAGTTAAACTGAAATTAAGACAAATCAAAAAGTCTAAAAGGAAGAAAATAGCCCGAGTGTGGTTAACACTAGCAGTGCTAATACCAATTGGGTTTTTTATCCCATGTAGGTCAGAGTCTATATGCTTGTACTGAACAAGGTTATGCTCCTGTCTAGTAGTTATGCATCCATTTACTCCAAAGCGGCCCTATCTATCAGCAGCATAGACAGTTGCAAGTAGTGATGGTCTGACTGTGTAACCTTCCACTACAATAGTGCTGTACTTTGATGTCATTACTAATTCACAAACCAGTATTATTTGTTCACTAATATCTCACGTCCTCCAAAGTTGACTGACTCCTATAAGAAAAAACAGAGATGTCACTAAAGCCTGTTTAGATGGGGTGAAACGGAGCACTCTGGTAATCTAGGAAGTGAAGCGTACTAGCGCATGTTTATTGTTGTATAAGGGAGTATTTTAACCCAGATGATGGTTTTCGAAACCAAATATGGTTGAGATTAGAAGTAAGCTAAACCAAAATTTCTTAACCCAACCAAACAGCAATTAAAAATAAAACTTTAGTCTCCTTGTCAAAGGTCAAAAAACTGTCTTTGTTTCCTCCACCTAACAAATATTCATTCTTGAAGTAGAAACACGTCTAAGTGTCTTTTAAGGATCACTTACATGGGTCTTTTCAAATGGAACAAAAGTGTCTCTCACCACTTTGCAGTTATTTTTTACTTGCTCCCCTCCTTTTAACTATAAATAAACTACAAATCCACTCCAAGCAACAAGTGGTTAACTATCATTAAAGTTTCCATGGCCTATTTATCGTATCTCCTAGTAGCTAAGAGGGCCAGATGTCCACTGGTTTCTCCAATGTTCTTTGTACAACAAAACGAAAGAAGGAAAAAGCTTTTCTGCCCTTCTGAGTAAAAACATGGACCCCGCTGAAATACACAGTACACACATTTCCACTACGTGATGATATTAATGTTGGCTGCCCGTAGCAGCCGCCTCAGTGACGCCACACTGCAGAGTCTGAAAAGCCCTTTCACTTTGCACACTCATGTCTGTCATGCAACGAGGCAAAGAGGCACAGGTGAATATATTATTTATGCTTTCAGGTTTTTTTTAAACCAGATGCAACACATTGGTATGCCAGTTTATTTCATGAAACCTGTGAAAAAGTCTGTATGCCTGCATGTTGTTGCTTGAACATCAATAAAACTTTAAAGAGGTGCAGCTGTGCATATAGGTTTGTCTCACTTTGATTACAGATTTGAAACACAATAACAGTTTCAAACTCATGTGTGAAATACCAACATAAATAATGCATAAAACAATTCATTCTAACTTTAAATAAAATTCTTTCCTTTCTTGCCAAGAGTGTAACAGAAAGATCAAAGCCGCTCCTAAATCTGTACGCTTAATATTTAATAGGAGATGATTGGCTTAGCATAAAGTTTGATTCTGCAAGGTGAAAACATTTTGAGGTTTCATGGACTTTAGACTTTCATGGCTGGAAACCTAAGAATTTCCAGTGATTGCTAAGGTAGGCTGACCTTGGGACACTGACACTGTATCTTGCATCCCATTCAAATCCTTCAAATCCTCCTCTTTCCCCAAATAATGAATCATATAAGGTCAATTTATTTCCCAAGTTGCTGGCTGTTGATTTATTAAGAATAAATGCAGTACATCAATTGCTGAATAACCAAACTCAATAAAGAATTTGGCTTAAATTTTTCCCTGCCATACTCTGAGTTCTCCTTAGAAACTTACATAATAATCCTTTAAAAAGCCACAGAAAGCTGAATGACTTTGACAGTAATGCCATCAACTGTCATGCCAATAAAAACACAGCACATAGACATAACATTATGTAAAGGAGACTGAACTTACCAGTCAATGAAACAACTCTTTCTTCTGATGCTTGCTTTTTTTACACCCACTGCTCTTGTTTATTTGACTCCTCACGCACTATTTGCCTGTCTTCTCTCCATCTCTTTTCTCTTCCTTTCTTTTCTCTCCTTCTCCCTCTCCCTCTTTCTTTCGCTCACTAACTCTCTCTCTTTGCCTTGTAAGTGGTAGGAGGATTCCTCTCATATCTGGGATTTGTTCTCACTATAAATAGACGAGTGATACACAGAAGGGACCTGCTTTCTATCTATGCTCACATGGACACACACAGCGACGGACCAAAACACAGTCAAACAGACGCACTGAGCACTGGAAACAGCTTAATTTGCATAGATTTTAAAGGGTTCTTTTTTTAAAACTACGTTTACAAGATTAGTCAGGAGCAGCAAAACACATTTAACTCCAAGACCATAGTGACTTTAACACTTTTTACATGTATTAATTCATAATCCACACTCATTTTAAAACTCTTCAAATAAGATCCAAAAGTTTTTTAAAGATTTAAATGCAGACCACTGAAATGCAGCACCGTCTGCATATATGATGTTTACATATTTTTAAGCTACAGTGAGATCAAGTGAGCAAACACTAGTAGAAAGTAAAACCTGTAAGTGTGAAATTTTTGTAAACTTTAAAAAGACGATTTTTCTCGTACCTGACTGGGCCAAATACCATTTAAAAATCTGATGCTTTAACCATGAAACAATCAAACACAATGTTGCCAGCTTCTGTTATGGCTGCTTTTATGATATTTGCTGATGCAAAAATGTACTTAAGTTATATTTACAGGGAAATAATGCGAAATAGATATGTACCTTCAGGGCATTTCAGCATGAACCAGAAGCTCTCATATATTGTAATGTTCTGATTGACAAAAAATAAGGGACTTACGTTAGGACCAAACTTAATTTTAAAAAAATTACGATCCAGCTTGTCTGCCAATGTAATTCAATCTCATTCAGCAATATTTATGATGACTTGATCCCTAATTTCAAATTGCTTTTAAGGTTTTAAACAATTGCAGAAAAATGCTCCAGTTAAGTATGAACCATGAAACTGTCTGCTAGATTATCGGATATTCATTCATTCATAATGAGAAGTGAGGTCACTGATTTAAGCATTTGGATTTTTTTTAATCTACTCATGTAGCAAAATGTTCCAAAGAGTAAAATAATTTCACTGCAGATTCATTCAGAAAATAAAACATTTTACTCATGAAACTCAAAACTATCTGTTTATATGGCATTCAGAGATGAGATGCGTGGTAATTTTTAGCTCTTCATCAAACCCTGACACTTGAGTCCCGAAAACACCCTTTCCTAATCTCAGTGACTAAAATGGGACTGGCCTATTTCTACCCCGACGCACACAAACACACAGAAAGAAGCAGTCATGCTGGTATATCTGCGTTTATACACTGATGTACAACCAAAAGCCCAGAGGAGACCTGTGATGCCACAGAGTTAAAGGTGCGCATGTGGCTATGAATGAGTGTGTGCTTTCTTACCTCCTGGTGTGCGTAGCTGCTCTGCCTTGCCTGTGCGCTCTCTGAGGTCCTCTTCGGCTACCTGACCTGTTTCCGCTTGTCCCGATTGGCTTGCGAGACAGAAAACTCCTCCCAGAGTGGAACCCGACCCAGCATCAGAGAAGTAAAATGAGTTTCAGCCTCTGTGCGTCTGTGTGTGTGTTTGTCTTTATTACATTGTGGGGACAAGGACCTGTTAGCACAGTCATGGGGTGGGAACCAGAATAAGTATGGGGACCAAAGAAAATAACTTTTATGTTTAATCGAATTTTTTAATTACAAAATATCTGACAAGTTCCCAGAATGCGGTTTCTATTCTGGTCTAATTTTTCAGTGCTTTACAACCAGCAGAAAAGTTGGATCCCACGATGCATGTTTTGGACAGGTGGCCCTATAATGTAACAAAGACAAGGATAGGTGTGTGTGTGTGTGTGTGTGTGTGTGTGTGTGTGTGTGTGCACTTCTGTATGTTTGAAGTCATTATGACACATTCAACATACCTTTCTCTCTGGATGTGTTCTTTAAATGAGGCTGTTCACATTTATTGCAGCAAAGCACAGCGATCATCAGGCTTGTTACACTGACCTGCTGTGTCCCTGGGTAGTGAAATGAAGAGGCTCAAACTGAAACCTTGTTATATATTTCAAACTATGCAAATGCAACCCCCACACACAGGTCTCAACTGTTGGGAAGGACCGCCCTGGTCTATTATAGATAAACACTTTCATCACTGAATGTGTTTATTGTGTTGTTGCAGAGATCGGGTTGGTGGAGCCCAGAGGAGGGAAAATCCAAGGCATAACATTTCTCGACATGATCTGATTAATTGCAAATTGGCTGTATAAAGTACAAAGATCAAACGTGACTGAATCTTGTTGTGCAGGAGAAAGCCAAATAACTTTTTATGGATATGTAACGATGAGGTTTTTGTCAAGTTGTTTTTTCTACCTTGATAGAGCAGTCTGTAAAAGGTTCTACAGTATTGTGAAAAGGAAAGTAGACCTAAAGGATTTAAAAGCTTGCAGAGAATTTTGGCCCACTAGTTTTTACAGTGTTGTTTCAGTTGATTGAGGTTTGTGGGGATTTGTTTATGCACAACTCTCTTAATAGTCACCACAGCATTTCATTCGGGTTGTATTCTGAACTTTGACTGAGCCACTGGAACACCTCAATTCTTTTCTTTTTCAGCCATTCTGTTATAGGTTTGCTGCTATGCTTCGGGACTGTTGAACTGTTGCATGAACCAGTTTCAGCCAAGCTGTGCCAGCAGCACTGCTACAGCTTGGCACATTTGAGTCTAGAATACATTAATTTTTGACTCAGTTGGTACAAGATGCCCAGTTCCTTTGGTTGAGACAAAACCCCATATCATCACCCTTCCACAACTGTGCTTGTCAGTTGGTATGAGGCGGTTGTGCTGATATACTGTGTTTGGTTTTCACCAAACGTGGTGCTGTGCATTATGGAAAAATATCTCCACTTCATTCAAAGGACATTTGAAATCTGGTGGTTTGTTGTAAATACAGCCTTGCAACCAAGTCATGCAGATGTGTTATTTTTCAAAGTTCTTCTGCTTTTATAGATGTGCTTAAACTTGCTGATGATCAGTTAATCGAATGCATTTGATTAGCAGCATCTGGCTGCTACTTACCCACTCAATTCCACTGGATTGTACTTAGTTTTCCAAAGAACTGCATGGAGTCCTGAGAAAACATTCTTTTGCACAAATCTATAATTGAAAGACTTTGAGTATTATTATAGAAAAAAAACAACTAGTAGCAGAGCACTGGGGTCCAAAAAGGTAAAGTCATATTTCCTTTTTGTGTTGTAATTTTAGTTTCCGTATTCTTTATTTTGGAGCTGGTCCAGCCAGTCACTAGTTGCAAGTTCCTCACTTTTAAACTTTTGACCAGCCACATGCTTACGAAGGCCATTAAGCTGAACACGGCAATATAAAAGCAAGATGGCACACACTGAAAAAACACCCTGAAGATAACTGAAAAAACAAACAAGCAAACTCTACAGGTGGCAACTGCAGCATCTAATAGATATTCAATGTATTGCATAGAGCTAATTGCATTTGGGTGTTGCTTTTGGCACACTAGTTATAAATGTATCATGAAGAAAGTTAGAAGGTGTGGCTGATGTGCTCATTTGTTTTGGTCTGTGCTGTGGCTCTGAAGTTGTTTATGCTGTATATCACCTTTAAAACAAAGAAAACCTGTGGAAAAGTATCATCATTCAATAATGGAAATACTGTAGAGCTCAATCAATCATTCATTTCACCTGAACAAAAACCCCATCAAACGTGTTTTTTTTTTTCTCCATTGAAAACATTTACCTTGTTGGAAATCCAGAATCGTGCTCCCGTAATAATACAGACTCTGTTGATATTTTTTTTTAATGGGAAAAGTTTAAATGTTGTTTAAAAGGCATCTGCTAGTCCAGTGTAAGGTTCAAAGTCTGACAATCCAAGGTAGCTTAAAGGTGATCGAGTTATTTACATTGTCCTGAGGAATAACCATTTACATATTCCTCAGGACTATGCAAATATCTTCCAAACTAACCTAGAAATGCCAAAAGGGAGTTTACTTCATAGGCAAATAATGAAAAAAGGAGCTTTACAAACAATATAATCTGCCTGTCTGTGGATAAAATAAATACACCATGGTGTGTATAATCGGGATCACTAAGCGTACAACCACAAACTGTTGCCGCAGGGCCTAAAAGGAGATAAATGTGGCTGTGGCTAAGTTTGATATTACTTACTTTAAGAGTAAAACCTCATAAAGGAGGAGGTAAACTGGAATTGGGGTTTAACCTTTTAGAAGGCAGCTTATTGCACCCAAATAGACAGTTTTCATCTGCAGCTGTGTCCTCATGAAGCTCAAATAACACAGTTGTTCTGAAAGGCTGAAGGCTCTGTAGGAACTGATGTACAGCAACACGTTGGCCTTTATCCACAAGCAGTTTTATGTTCCCTTGGCCACATTTATGGCTTAATGAGTCAGACTGGGAGCTTATTTTCTTGTTGCGCCTGACTCTGGCAATCCACATTTATTGGTTTCCTTTTACCCCCATTGACCTTTTGGCAGGATGAAATCCAATATCCAAAAACAAACTTTCATTTTTGTGTCTGCAGCTGAGCCAACTGATTATGCAATTCTCCATTTTTTAGGGTTGCAGCTATTTTCAGGTGCACCTCTAGATTTTCTTTTGCCAAGCTCTTTAAGAGTTAGACACATTGACAGAAAAGCATAAGTATAAATAATGTCAAATAATGTATTTTATTGAAGCAATAGCAGGGAAATGCATTATTTGCCACCGAAAACATTTTTAGGCACAGGTGTGCTTTTATTTTCCATAAGGAAAATAAAACAAATGTTGAATTAAAGTGAAATAAAGTAATGTTAGGGTTCGTTTAAGAGGGGTTTGATATGATAAAGCAAATTAATGCTAAGTACTGCTTTAAATGATTAATTTCACCCTTTTCAACTCCTTTTTGAAGGCAGAATGTTTCTCTGTGCCCTATAAATAGTAAGCACAGGGACAATCCACTGTGAATTGTTTTTTTGTTTTTTTTTTTCATTTACATAAAAAAATTCTCTCTATCAATTTCTGCCATTTAATTTATTTCTTTTTATATGTAATTATTATAATTATTTTTTTTACTTCTTTACTAGTATTTAGAATTTGTGAATTTTTCAAAATACTTTTTATTTTTTACAGCAAATGTAATTATTTTTGTTTTAATTTTTTAATTAGTAATTTGTAAAAACTACCCAAAATGAAAAGTGAGATGCTGCAGTTGAACACTTGATGGCGCAATATTGGCAGGGACAAAAGAAAGTGTCGAAGAAGAAGAAGAAGCCGGAGTTTTGTCGCGCAGTGCTGACACTTCTTCCGATTCACGGCATTCGTGAAATCAAACCTTTCTGTCTGTTTGCAGTTCACCGTAAGTGACGGCATTTTATGGCAGCGTTGGACGCTAATGACGGCGGCCAGCTGCGTGACAAACGGCGGGCAGAGACAGTGATGAAGGCGGCGCGGTGTGGAGTCCTGTAACGGCTGCACTATGATCCCCGTGTCCCTGCTGGTGTTTGTGATGGCAGGCTGGTGTGCTGTCTATCTGGCGGACACGCTGCTCAGGGTGAATATTTGCCTTTTTGTGTTTGTTTTTCTTCCTGCTCGGCAGTCTGTCAACTGACGCACGTGAATGGATTTAACATTAGAAGAGGTTTGAGCTGTGGACACTCGTGTAAACAGGCCACAGCAGCCCTGGAACTGCTGGAAACCCCGCTATTAAACACATTACGGCCATTACTTCACAATGTCTGTCCATGAGATGCGTTTAATGCTTAAAGTGAGCAGAAAATGTGCGAAATATAAGACCCTGTCTGTCTTTAAATACTATCAGAGTAAACTATAAGCGAGTACCTGCAGTAGTATATAGTATAGAGTATAACTCCGGATTTCCATGTATCCTGGAAAACCTGGCAACCTAGAGATCTGCTCTCTAACCCTTAAAATTTCGTGGAATTACAAAGCAAAACACAAGTAAACAAGGAAGAAGAGAGTCCAAAGGTGCAGCGCAAAAAGATATTAAAATCAGCTACAAACAAAGAGGAAATTGCCATTCACAATAAAAACAGCATGGGATAATTATAGCATTATTAGTGTGGAAGACATTCAAGGATTAGTGAGGAAAAAAGGTTAATACCAAATTTTCTATTTCTTAAAACTGAAACACCCATTAGGGCATCCACTTATTAGTTTTCATTAACTGGCTATCCTAATTAGTGTTGCAGGCCTGCTGGATCCTATCCCAGCTATTAGTCATATATTTTGACTTTAAAAAACAATAACTGGGTGAGCAAGATTGAATTTATTTAGGATTTTCTTGACTCGACACAGGGTCGAAAGTATACATACAGACACTAAATACTTACATACGACCCCCACAAAGTTTTTGGTTAAATGATCCTTAGCAAGTTGCAGTTGAATCAGACACTTTTGTTAGCCAAAACGTATATCCCCATGTAAAAACATGTAACATCTTGTCAGATCTAAAGATACAGAGGAGCCAGTGAATGGGGCTTGTAATATCAACATCTGCTCAATTTTAGCTGCATTTTGAACAGTGTACAGATGAGTTAATGAAGACTGTGAAAGCCTTTAAATATCACTGCGAAAGCAATTTTAATGTTCAGAGGAGTTTAAATCCCAGTTTCAGATTTGAGAAGCCTTCGTGTTATTTATAACACGAAGGCTATAAATACCTTATTTCCTACCAAGTTAGAGGCAGTCTGCGGCCTCATATCTGAGCTGTTTTGTGTGTAAACTATTTCAGTCGGTCCTCCTCCCTCGACTTGCTTTTCCTTTTCTTACAATGATTAAGCATTTGGCTGCTTTTATCATTACATGCATCTGTGGGCAACTTTTAACATTGTAACCCCTTGTAGCTTATATAAAGTTAGAGATGAATAGTGTAACATTCTCCTTCTGATTGGGGGTTTCAATATGCAGAACCTTTTCTGATTACAGCTTATTGAGGTCCGGACATTGGAAATATCTGGACACTACAGAATAACTCCAGTTAGACGTGCTTTCTAAATGTGGATGTGCTTGTGCGCTGACTTTGTCTCTGTCCTGCAGTCGTCGGTGACGCATCGGATCAACTATGAGTCGTGGCTCGCCAGTCGTGGCCTGATGTTGTCTCCTTTTCACGTGAGATGGCAAACCACCATGTTCAACCGACTATTTGCATACTGCGCCCGCATCAACCCCCGGGCTCTTTACATGTGGTACGGTTTCTGTATATATAATCCACTCAGCTGTTCCTGTAGTCTTTCTGAACTTTAATCGAGTGCAGTTAGTCTCAAAAATGGTAGAAAATGTGTATGTTGTGACACACAAGCCTAAACTAACATTTACAAATGTGTACAAATGATTTGATTCAGGTGCTAGTGGAAAACCAGGACATCTGAGCTTCCTCATGTGTTTTTCAAATAAAACAATGTTTTGTTTTTATTTTTTGTTTTTTTCCTGAATAAACAGAACAGCCCATCACTCCTCGACTACAAAACATACATTTACAAGTTACAGATACAGTAACCAGTGAAAGTCAAAATGTGATTCAAATAAGATGTTGCTGCTGAGTTTATTCTGACTAATCTCTTGTATATTTTGAATGCTGATATAATCAGATTTACCTGGCATAACTACATCTAGGCTGCTATGTGGCATCCATGGTGGATAAATGTAGATTTTCTAGTCGAGGGGTGATGAGCTGTTTTGTTTATTTAGAGAAAAAAAAAGTCTTTATTTAAGAAGCATAGGAATCCACAAGAAGCCCACATATCCCAGTTTTCCACTTGCACTTAAATGCAGCTTATATTTGTAGATCTGTGTTGGCAGATTTTGATATACATGTTTGTAAAATAGTTTTATGCATGTGCAAATTGTTTTGTATTTGTGTGTGGATTGGAGCACACATTTGTGAGTGCTCAGTATACACACAAATAAATGAGTACATTAGCAAGTTAGCTTATGGATTATAACACACACTTTTTTAAAACATTTTGAGACTAATTTCCCTCTATAAACCTTTGTCCACACCTTCAGATTCCTGCTTCCTTCCACTTCAGTTACAATAAAATTATACTTTTTTTTCTTTTGACTTTGATACTTGATGGTTTGGCTAAAAGCTTTCCTCAACCTTCCTTTTTCATCATAAAAGCATTTGGCAATTTAATAACATTTCTAAAAACGTCTTTTCTGCAGTAAATGGATTCAGAGAAGCTGTTTACTTACTTTCACTGGACATAATTTGTTTCCTGGAAGAAAAAAGGACATTTTAGAGGATTACATTTTAATTGCAAACTGAGTCTGCACTGACTTCTATAACCAGCCGTATGACAACCGAGCCTTAAAAGCTAAAGTCGGCAGCAAATGTAAAAAATAAATAGCTTGAGATGTTAGCAGACATCTTTCCTCCTGCAGATGTCCTCTCTCTTTCTAAAGACTAAATGGACAGATAGACATGCATCATACATGCTGAAAGTAAGTAAATTTTTGACTTTTTAGTAAGCAAGTAAGTAACATTCATTTACAAAGCACTTCTCAATAACATTTCATCACATGGCTCTTCACAGTAAGATGAAAACAATGATGGAAAAAAATTAAAATAGGGATAAAAGCTGGTCTAAAGGTATCAGAAATGTCCACAGACCTCAAAAGCTCCTTTCTTCCTTAACCTGGACTGTGGGACAGCTAGCAGCACTGAACAGTAAACTGTACTGTCTTGCTAGTTACATATAGATTTAAAGGTTGACTAATATAGAGGGACATCTGACTGTCAGAGATTTGAAAGAATTTTGATTTGAATCCTAAGCTTTAATTCGAAGCCAATGTAAAGCCAGGACCATTTAGAGGACGTGATGAGAAGCCTCACAGCAGCATTCTGGACTGTTAGTAGGCTTTGAGGTCCGGTCAGGATTTGGTCTGAATTGTAGGATTTAAACTCTACTCTCAAAGGTAAAGGTCCTAACTCTATCTGTGTCTGGTCAAAGAAGTTGTTTTCCCATGACACAATTTAGGAAGGAACCTGATGGACAGGCCAGTTTTTACATATTTGTTTTATTGATTCATATTTTTTATGCTAACACCCCCAAACGTTTGGATTTATAGTAGATGACTTGTAGTAGTGACTGTTTTTAAAAATACTACTCTTAGTGTGGAACTGACTTGGTGTGGCATTTCTGAGTTTCTCAATTCCAGGTGATTTTTTCCGTTGTTTAGCTTTAATAATCTTTAGTTTTTTTCACATTTATAAATGTGAAAAAAGTACAGCAAAATTGCACTTGTTGAATTTGCATCCCATCTGTGTTTCCCAGGTTCAACAGTGGTCTGGTGTTTGGTATCGCTGCCATGTTGGGCTCAGTGGTGCTGCTGATAAGGACTCTGCAGCAGACCATCGCTCAGATGACCACAGACAACCCACGGATTGGAGATCAACAGACCCTGCAGGTGGTGGTAGGTTGACTTTAATGAGATTTCTATACATAAGTTACATCAGCTGAATGAAAATGGCAAGTATTCATCAGATTTAAATCTGTAAGCTTTTGTGTCTCTTTTCTGTGTGTAACTGGATAAAAACATCCTTCAGAGTTGATCATAAGCGTGTGAAATTCAAATGTCCGTGCCATGAAAAAAAATGACCCCTGCTTTTCAGAAGTGTTTCCCTATTCGCTTTTTATTCATTATGGTGTCAAATAACCGTGCATAAATGTGAGCCCTATCCCCAGTGGAGCTCTGTAGGTGATTCATGGGAAGCTATTAGTGGGCCATTTATATCCAAGAATTCAGCCTGGAGAAGAAAAGAAAATCTAGTCAGAAGGGGAAAAAATGCAGAAAACGACAAGCTTCAGCAAAACACCAAGCAATTAATGTGAAGAACCAAAAAAAAATAAAATAAATGTGGTGATACAAATTAGAATTTTTTATTTGGGAAGATGTTACACTGTGGTTAAATTGGCTCTTCATTTTTAGGATAAAACGAACCATAAATGCTGATTTTTAACTCTGTGAATTATGTTTTATGTTCATATCTTAGTCAGTTTCTTTTTTTTTTTTTTCTCATCTCTGGTGTGTCTTTAGGTCCCCGGCGTTAATCTACCCACAAGTCAGCTGGCCTACTTCTTCATCGCCCTGCTGCTCAGTGGAGTAATACATGAGCTGGGCCACGCTGTGGCAGCACTGAGGTAATAACCACACCGCACCACATTGCAGTGTCAACATAGCATCCAGCATGAATCCATCATGATGAAGAGCATTTGTTTTGTTGGTGGATAATATATTAAACTCCAGAAAGGTGAAAGAATACAAAGACTCCAATACTACAAGTGTGTTTGCAAGGAGGACATTGTAAATGTATGTCAGACTTCTGCTCAAAACGTTTGAAGCCTGGTCTTAAAAGTAGAGAGGACGTCTGTCTCTTGAAGCCAAACTGGGAGCTGGTTCCACAGGAGAAGAGCCTGATTAATAATCTTGTCCATTGATAACCTTTCGGGATTAAGATAAAGGGTTTATCTGAATCAGAGATAAAGGATTGTTAAAGATGGGACAATCTGCCTGCAGACATGAGCCAAATATAGAGCCCTTTGCCTTTTATTCTGCTTTAAGTAGAATGTGTTTCTGCTACTTTAGTATTTAAATTTGACCTTAAACACCGGTTTGATAAAATTAGAGTGGCTTAGGCTGTCCAGGTACAGTGGAAATTAAATGTGTTTTTTGTATTAATCACATGTTTTGATGTCAAATTCAAAACCACAAGTTGCTGATAATTTCGTTTAATTGGGCTTTGTATTACTTGCTCACTTTGTGTGATTTTTGATGAGCCCCAAAAAAATAACTTTAATTCATTCCTGATTTTTATTTCATTGTGCATTGGTTCTGATTACAGTTAATGATTAGGTGGATTGTGCAAATCAAAACTAATGAATTAGTGTGCATAGCACATGGTCCAGAGGAGATGACCCCTCTGATCTGCTGCTGCATCCTGTTTTTCACAAAGCCACTGATTTCAGGCAAATGCTTTTTAAGTGAGGAGCCTCAAAGACTTCTTTCATGTGGATCCAGTCTGTGAGACTGTGATTAACCTCTGCTGGAGGATTTTTTTTCCTCAAAAGGGTTGCAATTATTTTAATACAGGATACAACTTGTGTACAGATGAACGTGAAGGCAGTAGGGGGCTAGGTTCCAAGTACAGTGGTATGTATTTATGACAAATATAGGAAAAGAATTAACATTTGAAAAATATGTACATCCATAAACACTCAAGTCAGTATCTTGATTCAATCAAACAGGGGTTCAAGGGGATTTTTTTAAAGGATGTTTATTGTAAATTCTGTTGCACTAAATTAACAATGAATTCTTAACTTTCGGTGCAATATATACTGGGTGTATCAAAAAGAGTTGTTTGATTTCAAAGTGCTGTAATTCTGCAGTTGTTCGCCTGTAACAATCGAAAGATGCACTGTTACAAAGAGGGGATCCATGAGTTTCATGTGGTTGCTGGTAGGTAGCATAACAACAGCAGATGTTCTAGAGATGCTCTCAAAAGCATGTGACGAGTTTGACTATCATATGGACATATGCTGTGTGTCTAGAAAGGGACATGCTGAGCAATTGTGAAAATTGCTTGCAAGTTCTGTATATAAAACATTATATTCAGCCATGTATTTTAAAATGTATTTCAAGTTTCTATATCCGTTACTTTAACAAACATAGCCTTTTGAAATTGGATGGTTCTTTTTGATGAACCCTGTATATTGCAGTCGTATTTAGTAACCCCAAGTGCTGCTGCACACCTGAGGCGAATAACGTTCCCTTACTGCACATTGGCTCTGCCCTAAGTACACCCTGCTTTAATTGCATATCAGTTAATAACCACATAATCTAAAAAAAAAAATTAGATTATGAAATTACTGGCAAAATGTTTACTGAGGTCAAATATCCAGTGAGCGCCAGAATAGATTTTCCCATAGCCTCTTATACAAGCCAACTTCTGCTTGGAGCCAGATGTTTCCCCTTGCTTTCTATTTGAAGGTTTAAGGTACCTCCACACTTCCCAGAAGCTACATCTATGTTTTCCTCTAAATATTCACAGACACTATAGTGTGTTTGTCTAAATGGTCTCAAGACTTCTTGTACGTTTAGTGGAGTCTGGTGTGTCATTTGAGTTCGAGGGCAGCAAAGCCCAGTTTGATCTCACATGAGCTCTGCTCTTTGCCTTTTTCTAGTAGGTGTGCCCTATCTCATGTGCACATCCATGGTATGTCATGTACCCCCTAAAAAACCTAATTACAAGCCTTCAAAAAAGAAAAAGCATTCTTACCACATGACTCCCATCAGGAAGTGGTCCAGTCTGTCATATGCTTTTCACCAGTCTATCATCCGTTGACAGCGTAAATCAAGTCTGCCACTTCTTATGTATCTGTCATACCTTGGCTTTTGAATATTTTCCCTCACTGTGCCCAAAACCTGGAAACTGCCCAGTGTTGCCCAGGAGCTTCCACCACTTCAGTTGTTGGAGCTGTTAACAAAGATTCTCTCTTAGCAGGAGAGTTTACCCTCTGTTAAATTCAAGGACCAAAAATTGGCCTGAACATTTGTGTGTATTTGCTGTTCTTTTGTATGTTGTGGGCTTTTGTGGTAAATGGTAAAAGGACTGGGTCTTATGTAGTGCTTTTCTACTTCACTTGAGCACTCAAAGTGCTTTATACAGCTTGCCTTGTTCACTTATTCGCACCCATTTATACAAGGACTTTTTTTCTATGCCTAAGCGCTTTCTGTTGAAGATTCACACACATGACACTCCAATCAACACATCAGAGAGCAACCTGTGGTTCAATATATTGCCCATGGATACTTTGACATGCAGGCTGGATCAAACCACAAAACCGATTAGTAGGTGACCTGCTCTGCCTTCTGAGCTCACCGCTTTTGTGTATACAATTGTAGAGACTGGCCTCGGGGCAAGTTCCTTTGTAGGGTGTCAGATTGTAAATCTGGCTGGCACGCCAGAAATTGTCAGCAACTGCTACAGGGCTAGACCAGTAAAACCACTTTATAATACGCTGTATGTATAAAGAAATACAAGTACTGTTGGAATATTTTCATTTGTAGTGAATCAATCCAATCAATCCGATCCATGATGGCAAGGCTGAAATAAATAAAATAAGTGGGATTCCACTGTTGCTTCTTTCACTTTCTGGTAGTCTGCAAAGAAATATTTCCATCAGAAAGTTTTGGCATGGCTCCTTGTCTTCTAGGTCATGATAAAAATCCAAAAATGGTGACCTCTTTTATCTTCCTTCTGTTCCAGCCCTCAGGCTGTATGTTTGACACCCCTCATAGAGTCTGTTTCCCTTTAAAATCTAATGTTTCTTTGTTTTTTTTTACTTCTGTTCCCACGCAGGGAGCAAGTGCGAGTGAATGGATTTGGGATGTTTGTGTTCGTAGTTTATCCTGGTGCATTTGTGGACCTCTTCACCACACACCTCAACCTCATATCACCGGCTCAGCAGCTCCGCATCTTCTGTGCTGGTAAGACTTTTTATCCTGAGATGTGCTGATGGCTCCTTACGGCAGCCTGATTGTGTTTCCAGCTATTAATCACAATTATTACAAGCATGTTGTTTTGCCAGCAAAGGTCACTCTGAGGAGTTTATTGCTAAGCAGCAGACAGCTGCATCGCATCAAATCATTTCACTCTGCAATTAAGAAAATTAGAGCTTAATGAATTGAATGGTAAGCTGGCAGTCGTTCTCACATGAATGTGACTGATGTCTGCCATCGCAGATCATCAGAGGGAGCTGCTTAAAGCCTGAGTATTTTCTGTGTGTGGTCTGGTTTGGAAGAAAAGTGCAGTTTCATTAGAAAATAGTCAAGTAGTTAGTTTGGAAAATCCCCATGCTGTAAGAATTACAGCAGAACTGTTATATGAAACATAAATTAAACGTCAAGCAGAGACTTGAACTTGATTTCCAAATTAACACAATGAAAACCAAAAAAACAAAAAACAATAGATTAACATTAGAAGTTTTTCTGCATACAACTTATAAGTGTTGCTCTTAATATTCTTGCAAAGCAGAAGTTATGAGAGCAGCATCTTTTGCACTTTGATAATGTATACCCATGTCCCCTTACAGAAAGTATGAAAGGATTATGTGGACTTGTTAAGGCCCTGGTCATACAGGCCTAGAGTCTGGTTGTTGACTGCTTGGTAACCACTGGTTACTAGGGAAAAGTGAGTATTCCCAAACTAGTTACAAGTGGTTGCTGGCAATCTCTGTGAAATAGATTTTTTTTAAGCCACAGTCATGCACCAAGAGGCCAATCAGTGAGACTTGGAGTATCCACAGGTCTGTTTGATGAGTGGTTGCTGGAGGTTGCTTGCTGCTGTTAAGTGAAATTGGTCACAAACAGGTATACGGTTGCTAGCAGATTGCTTTGGTTAACTTTAGTTTGTATGAAAGATGCTGACTAGTCTGCAAACACTTGCCAACTACTCTCAACCATTCGCCTTAAAAGTAAAAGTTTATTTAAACGTGTTATTTTCAGTAGAGAGGCGAAACTTTCAATTTGAAGGCAAATGTTCTTAGTTTGCAGTTTGTATCGCACTTTAGTTTTAATGCTTCTTCAATTTTGACAAGATCTCTAAAATCCCTGGCTGAAATGCAGCCCCAAACTATGACCGAGTCTCCACCGTGTTTTAGTGATGGCTTCAGATACTCACTATTATGTCCCCGTGCACATGTTGATAACAAGTTTGAAGTTTGAACCAATAATTTCTGAATTTAGATTCCTCACTTCATTAAACCTGTAGTTGCCGATTTTCAGTGCAGTTCTTGTATACTTTGGCAGACCTCACCTTTTCTCTTTGTTAACTTAAGAATACCTTCATCACAGCCACCTTTCCACTGAAACCATTTCTGATGAGGCTTTGGGAGTTTTTCCTTCCCACTGTCGCCAAAGTGCTTGCTAGTAGGGGGTGATATGATTGTTGGGTTTTTCTCTGTATGTATTATTGTAGGTTCTACCTTACAATATAAAGCACCTTGAGGCGACTGTTGTTGTAATTTGCTGCTGTATAAATCAAATTGAATTGAATTGGGCAGTATGGGAATCAACCATGATTCACACAATGCTGAGAGATGGTAAGTTTTCAGCTAGTAGTTTTTTAGGAATCACCTAGGCTGAAGGTGATACAATTTAAAATGGGTTCTTTGCTAAATTGTCTAATATGTGTAAATGGAATGGGTTCATCACTTGAATTAGATGCCTTTTTTGTGCTTGAATTATTCATAGGTCAGTGCTAAATGGCTTATGAAATTTAAAATACAAACTATTAAATAAGATTCTCCTGGAAATGGTCCAGTACAAGGACTGAATTGAAAATGAGTGGAAATAGCAGCCAGTGTCTAACCCCCCCAAAAAACTTGGACAAGGTGAAACCTGCCCAGTACTATACATGTGTAATAGCCTTATCAATACAAAGGTCTGGCTAATGTGTATTAAAAGTTAGCAGATTTAAATACTTACATTAGTAAAATTATGAAGGTATTATAAGTTAAATATAGTTGATGCACTCATTATGTAGAGAAATTGTTAGCTGGGTCATGCATACTGTACTACATGTGATGTTTGATGTTGTGTTATAGGATTATTTATTCTATTGTCTTTGTATTGCTTCTGACTTGTATTTGGTCAATTCTGAAGCAATTATTTTGTCAGGCAGTTTAATGCAAAATCCCAATCACCCTATCTTAATGAAAGCATTTCTCAATATAATGAAGAAAGGTTGTAGCTATAAAAATGAGGGAATGAGGCCTGTTATTGCAGTAAAAATATAATTTAGGAAAAAAAAGGTTCTGACATTCTTCCTGATATTTTGTCGCTTCATTAGAGAATTTTAATGATTCAGTCAAAGATGAAATTACTTGAAAATTGTATTAATTTTTTAATTTATTTTTGCACTTAATCATTTCCACATTTTATAGATTGAAGACATGGAGTAAAAGTGCACGAGTAGAACAGAACAAGAGCGCTCAGGTAAACAGAGCCACACCTTAATTCAGAGTGTGGCGATGCTATTAATAATTTTTCCAGCCTTGGAAATGTCACGCTGGTCTGGTCGAGGCTGAGCTCCATACAGATTATGGTACAGCTGGCAAAATTCCATACTGCTGGGTTTCCCTTTGCTGTTTGCAGCCTTTAGAGGGCAGTGAAGAGCTGTTGTGAAACAGTCTTTGTCTTTACCTATCAAGTGAAAAAAATTCCCTCAGGCTTTGCTGAGAAGAAAATAACTTGGTGGGGACTCCAGATGCAAAACTGAGACGTTCAGTCAGTTCACGTGACAAAGTGAGAGAGATGCTTTTCCCATTAGGAGGGTGGTGACGTAATAGCGTGCTGTGTTTATTGTTTTTTTCTCTCGCTGTCCACAGCTGAGATTGCCCTGCGTGCAAGGGGGGTTGTCAGACATAACATGTTTATTATTTATTCCTGTAGAGATAGGTGCTGAAACTTTAATAGTTTGTTTACTGCATATATCAATATTTGAAATACACTGCATGAAGCTTTTCCTTTTTTCTTTTTTG